CTGGGGAATATCTGGCTTGAGCCAGCTCTGTGCCATTGTTTGTCTAGCTGCTAAGATGATGTTGTTGAACAATTTTTGTTCCATTCTCGGCCAGTTATCTATTGGTCTGGATAAAAGGAACACCCACGGGTCTATGTTGATCTGTCTTTGGAACACCCTCTCTAGCAAACTCCACACCCCCACCCAGAAGGTTTTTGCTTTGTGGCAGTCCCACCACATGTGCTTGTATGTCCCCTTATGTCCGCACCCCCTCCAACACAGGTCATCTATAGATTTGTGCATGTGGTATAATTTTACTGGTGTGGTATACCATCTGAACATGGTTTTGTATGCCTGTTCCTGTTGTGTTACGCATATCGAAGTGGCCTTGTTTGCTTCCCAGATTTCTCTCCATTCTGTGCCCTCTAGGACCTCCCCCAGGTCTGTTTCCCATTGTGTTTATGTAGTGAAGCTCACCCCTTTCGGGAGTGTTGGAGCTTAAGTGGGCGTATATGGGGGTTTCCCCTGAAGCACATCTGTTTGAAACTCGTTAATTTAGTGTGGGCTGCTGTCTTTGCTAAGGTGTGTTGTGCAAAATCACGTATTTGAATATATCTAAAGTCAGCAGGCTTTAGTCTAGCTTTTTCTGTCAGAGGTGTAGTGCTCTCTGTAGGTCTGTCTCTTCTATTCGTTTTTAGTCGTGTGCCCGCATTCCTGGGGGGAATGCCATGTTCCTTAGGATGGGCATCATAGGAGAGGGGGATGATGTTTCATATTTCAGGGCCGTGGCATCCCATTATCTAAGGGAATTTAAGATCGCTGGGCATTGTGTGCGGATTAGTGCCCTGTGCTCCTTCGGCAGCCAAATGTAGAATTGGGGTAAGTCTATGCCAATCAGTTCTGACTCGAGGTCCACCCACTTGCGATCCTCCGGTGTCGAGTGCCACATAGCTATCTGTGCCGCCAGGTAGTAATTGTGTAGATGTGGTAGGCCCAGTCGTCCCTCCCCCCCCTGTCTTTGGGGCGATTATAGTACATGCTTAGACACCCTATGTCTTTTGTGCTGCCAAATAAATTCCCCTATTGTTTCCTGTAGGGGTGCCAGGTCCCATTTCGTGATTGGTATGGGCAATGCCTGGAAAAAGAACAGCAGCCTGGGTAAAACATTCATTTTTATCGTGTGGATTCTTCCAATCCACGAGATTGGTTTGTCCACCCATTTCCCCAGGTCCGCTAGAAGTGTCTTGAGGAGGGGAGTGTAGTTAGCGGTGTACAACTGTGTGGGGTCTCCTGTGATCTGTATTCCCAGGTATTTTATAGACTGGGAGGTGATTGGGATGTGGTGTTTATCTCGTATGTATGTCGCGTCAGTTGTCGTCATGGCTATAGGGAGGGCATTTGATTTTGAGAGGTTAACCTGGTATCCTGATAAGGCACTATATTCAGTCAGTTCATTCGTTAGGGCCAACATGGAGCTTTTAGGGTTTGTGAGAGTGAGAAGTATGTCGTCCGCATATCCTGAAACTTTATATGTCTGTCTCCCTACGTGAACGCCTTCGATGCTGGGATTGGTGCGGATGGCTTGTAGTAGAGGCTCCAGGGAGAGCACGAACAGGGGCGAGAGTGGGCTGTCTCGTACCGTTATGGAGGGAAAACGGTGTAGTCTTGGCCCCTGTGATTTTAATTTGTGATTTTTACATCTGTGTACATAGCTTTTATTGTCGTAAGGAACGTCTCTGGAATGTTTAGGTGTTGTAAGAGGGCAAACATGTATGGCCATTTCACCCTATCAAAGGCCTTTTCAGCGTCATGGGAGAGGAGTAGCGTCGGGACTGTGGCCTCTGTCTGGGTCCAAATTAGATCAATGTTTCGTCTGGTGTTCTCGAAGAGCTGATGTCCTGGAATGAAACCCACCTGGTCTGCATTTATTAGTCTTGTTAGTTGTGGGGATAGTCTGTCAGCTAATATCTTGGCTAGTATTTTGACATCGTGATTTGATAAGTGATATTGGTCTATAGTGTTCAGGTCTTGTGGCGTCTTTCCCTGGCTTCGGTAAGAGGATTATGTGTGCTGTGGACATTTCAGGATCCGGGCGCCCCGTCCCCCTCCATGAAATAATTGTACCCTTTAAGCATATGTGGCATCAGCTCTGTCCTGAATGGTGTGTGTGTGTGTGTGTGTGTGTGTGTGTGTGTGGTGTGTGGTTTTTTTTTTTTTTTTAATTTAATTTTATTTATTTATTTATTTATTTTTTAATAGTAGCTTCCCTCATATCTGTCTGGTCCATGGGCTTTATGTCCCTTTTGAGTCGTGTTATGGCTTGGTCTATCTCGTCTGCTGTGATCTCAGCACCAAGGACGGTTTGTGTTGTTGGGCTTAGTTTGGGTAGTTGTAGTTTCGTGAGGTAAGTGTGTATGGCCTCTCGATATGTTATGTTGTCATTGTTGTCCCCAGGGGAGTGATTGTAAAGGGTTTTGAAGAAGTCCGTGAAGACTTCTGCTATTTCTGTTGGTGCTGTTTTTGTATGGCCGCTGCAATCTTTAGTCCTTGTGATGTGTGCATGTCTTGGTCTCAGGCGTAATGTGCAGGCCGGGAATGTGTCCATCTTATTTGCGTGTTCGTAAAATGTCCTCTTGGACTGTTATGTCCCTGGCTACGTCATCTAGGAGAGTTTTTCCCGTATGTGCCGTCTCACGGTATTCAGTTTTTGAAGACCGTCGGGTCTGTTTTGTGTTTGTGTTCTAAAGTGCGTAAGTCCGTCAGAAAAGCTTGTAGCTTTTGGGTCTTGCGTTTCTTTTTGCGGGTGGCTTCCCTGATAAGCGCCCCTCTGATAACTGACTTTTATGTGCGGCCCATATGGTCGCCGGGGATACATCTGGGGTCATGTTCAAATGAAAGTATTGTGATCTCTGTTTGTATGGTCGCCTTTACTTTGGGGTCTTGTAACAGGGAAGCATTCAATTTCCACGACCATGCTGTCTTGGTGCATAGGTCATCCAATTCAATGCTTAGATCAGCGTGGTCCGACCAGGTGATCGAACCCACTGTGGATTTTTTAATTCTAGGTATGGTTTGATTATTCACTAAGAAATAGTCAATGCGTGAATACGAGTCGTGTGGTGTGGAGTAAAATGTGTAGTCTGTTTCCCCTGGGTGTTGTGTCCTCCAAATGTCAATTAGTCCTGTGGCTTGTATAAATTCATGAATCAGTCTATCCTGTCTTCCTCTACCCTGCGAACGTGGCAGTCCCCTTCCATGTCCCCCATCTACAGCAGGGCTGGGTTACCGCGTTGAGGTCGCCCCCCCCCATGATAATCATTAAATGAGATAGTGTGGTGATTTTTATTTTGGATACGCTCCCAGAACTCCCTGGATGGGTCATTGGGTGCGTAAATATTGATGAGGTTGATTGTGTGCGCTAATAGCGTTCCCGAGACTATCACGAATAGTCCATGTCAATTCCTGTGACGCGCATGGGGCATCGTTTGTGGAGTAATATCGCCACCCCATTGCGTTTCCTTTGTGAGCGTGCCTCGTAGCCTGTGGTGTATATGTGGTCTTTTAGTGTCATTCCCAGTGTGCGTGGTAGGTGCGTCTCTTGCAGAAAGGTTATGTCCGGATATAGTCTCTTTAGTTCTCTAAAGAGAAGGCGCTTTTTAATTTTTTTTTATTTTTTTTTATTTTTTGGCCTGCATTTAACCCATTCACGTTTTAAGGAGGTAATTTTTATAGGCATGTTAATGTGTGAGTAAGGATGTTATGTGGTGACTCACTGTTGTCGTCAGCTGTCTTTATCTCCCCGCTGAGTCCTGTGCGCCCCCGCTGGGCTTTGCCTCCATCTGCCGCTGTGCTTGTCGTGTCGTCCGGGGCATGAAAGGATGAGGGGTAACTGGGTAGGTGAAGGGGGAAGTAGATATATAGATCAAAAACATAGGTAAAACATGTGTTTTTAACAACCAAAAATCGTCTGGTCTTATTTGGTGCCAGACTGGGTTGGAGCGCATGCATCCGCTCGTCCCACCCTTTGCCATGGGGTGAGTTGCGCGGAGGCATGGACCCTCTACTGCACGAATGCGCCTATCGGCCCGTTTCTAGTATACGACTGTGCACAGTTTAAGATTGTTTCCACTACGGTCGCCCCCTGGGGAGTCCCCCATGGTAATTTGCTTCTTCCCCTTCTCTGTCTATCCCAGGCCCATAGTGGCTCTGGCGTGGGTGTCTGGTCCCTCCCATCTCTGTGGCAATGCGGTCACCGCTGGTTAGGGGTGATTGTCTATAGTCATGTCCATGGTGGGAAGTCGTTGGAGGGGGAGAGGGGGTCAGGGGGGAGAGGGGGTCAGGGCCGTCCGTGGCTTCCATGTCGCGCCGGTCCCCCCCCCTCGCAGGCCCCCCACCCGTCGCCCAGGGCTCCTGGTATGTCAGGGTGTGGGAGTCTGCCCTTGTCCGTAAGCTGGATGCGCATTTCCCAGTGACCCTGTTGTTCACCGCATCCCTCCCCTCCCTCACATCCCCCATTGACCCAGGGTTCCCCACTGTCTGTCTCCGCACCTTCAGTGGCTATGCAGTGTCCATGACCAGGGGGCGCGAGCGTCCGCGCCGGATGCCCCGGCCATCCGTGTTTGTCGAGGGGAGCTGAGCGGGATGCCCCCAGCACTGACTCTGCCCCCCGCCTAGTGTTGACATTCTACATGTTGAGTCCCTGAGGCTTGTACCCTTGATATCCGCATGGCAGCGGTGTACGTCGGTGATAGTCCGGCCATTGCTTGTCACAGTCTCCATGGATTCATTTGGTGTCCATCCCCCCCCTTTGTTTAAAATTTTCGGATTCCGATAAGTCCGTGGGAAGGTGGGTATAGGAGCTGCATAGCGTGAAGGGGTCCCTCTAAGACGGCCTGTATTATTACTCCTCCACCTCATACCACTCTCTCGGGAGGAGCTGCAGGTCAGTTGTGGTGGTCGGTTGCCACTGGAATGTCTGTGGCCTAGGGATGTCCAGTGCTCGGAGAAAGGTGTCCACATCTCTGTCTGGGAGCAGAATCTTCGGTCTCCCATTCTTGAAGGCCATTAGTTTAAAGGGGAGTCCCCACGCGTATTTGATGTTGTTTGTGCGTAGCAGGTCTGTGACCGGTCTCCAGGCTCTGCGTCTCTCAAGTGTTGCAGGGGAGAGGTCCTGATAGAGTGAAATGGTGGTCCCTTTATATGTAATGGGTCCTTCTCTGCTCCACTTCATAAGTGTTTCTTTTGTCTGGCAGAACTGAAAGCGCATAATGACGTCTCTCTGTTGCTTTGCATCTGTGCTTCTTGCGCCCAGGGCTCGGTGTACCCTGTAGCGGAACGCCAATATTAAATCCACGAATTCCGCTGGTTCAGGAAGTAATTCACAGTCAAGCGCTGAAACAACAAGGCAATATCCCCAACCTCCCAGTAACCGGACGAAACACAGTTCTGAGAGTCAACTGAAGTCCTTTAATTCTGCTTCACAATTTATACAAGTCCCCATGCAAGGGGTTTCCTGAGTCCCTTCCCAGGGGCATTCCCAGAGGGGACTACATGGAGAACTTACAGTACAAAACATTTCTCCCATCAGGCACTGCTGCACGAGAGGGATCCTCCCACTGGAATATACTGTTGTGGATTATCCCTCCGTGCAGCAGAACCGACAATTTATATAAAAATCTGTAACTTTTCGAATATGCAGTTTATTTGCACGAATGGACGTTCGGTAGATAGCTGGGGTCTGAGCGCATCATTCGTGTGATTACCGCTCAGATCCCAGCTAAAATAACCGAACGCCGCACGAAAAACACATTTATTGAGAAACATATTAAAAAGACCGATTGCCTTCCAGGGAATGAAATACCGAACGGCCCGGAACTCCCGAACGTCCTGGAGGCTCAGCGGTGTTCGCGCCGTTGAGTAGCCGTTTTTAGTACCATGCGCTCGACGACCTAACACCGCTGAGGGAACAAAGGATCCAAGATGGCCTACCGCCACATGGTCGGTAGTCGAACGGCGGCCACACAGGAGAGCCTCTAATTACCGATTGCAACATTGTTGCAATCGGTTAATAAGCGCCACACGCCTCTAAGTGTGTGGGCTACTACATGGGGTGTTTTCGGTTCACGAACGGCCTGCCAAAGTGCCTTTCGTGAAACGAAAGGAAATCCTCATACAGATAGCCATCTGCATTCGGCGGATAGTGCACACACAGGGAATACACAGTTATTACAGCCCTCATACATTATACATAGATGACCCATATCCCCACCGACATATAGGCAACCCTTAAAGGTATAGTCTCTTGATACAGTCCAAGTGGCTAGGTTTGCCACAATGCTCCCCCAGAACCAAGCCGGCATACACAGTCTGATCCCAACGGATCGGCTTGGGGATGTCCGGAGGAGCGCTCACAGATCACTTCTCAAGGTCTGTTTGTCTAGATAACCCGTCGGCGTTACCGTTTTGTTTTCCTGGGCGGTAATGGATAGTAAAGTCAAAAGGCTGTAGCGCTAAACTCCAGCGCAGCAGCCTAGCATTGTCTCCAGCCACACGGTGCAGCCACACCAACGGGTTGTGATCTGTGAGAAAAGGGTTGCCCATAGAGATATGGTTGTAACTTTTTCAGGGCCCACACCACGGCCAGGCATTCTTTTTCTATGGCGGTGTAGCTCACTTCTCTAGGTAACAATTTCCGGCTCAAATATGCTACGGGATGTTCTCCGCCGTCTGCTCCGACCTGGCTCAGTACTGCTCCCAATCCAAACATTGAGGTGTCTGTGTGGACAAGAAAACGTTTAGTTGGATCAGGAGCAGCTAGTACAGGGGCATTGGTCAGAGCCGTCTTCAGTTGGTTGAATGCCTGTTCACACTCTGGGGCCCAGATGACCTGCCTGGGCAGGTTTTTCTTCGTCAAGTCAGTCAGGGGTTTGGCCAGGGCACTGTAATTGGGCACAAATTTCCTATAATACCCGGCGGTACCTAAGAAGGCAAGGACTTGGGTTTTAGTCCTAGGGGTAGGCCACTGGGCTACGGCTTCAATCTTTGCGGGCTCAGGCTTCTGTTGTCCGCTCCCTACCCGGTGTCCTAAGTATTGTACCTCCGCCATCCCTATGTGGCACTTGCTGGGTTTCAAGGTAAGCCCTGCCTCTCTAATCCAATCTATTACAGCCCCTATATGTTGTAGGTGATCAGCCCAGGTCTGGCTGTAGATGGCAATATCATCCAGGTATGCACACGCATAATCCTGGAACCCGTCCAGTAGCCGATCCACCATCCGCTGGAATGTCGCGGGGGCGTTCTTCATCCCGAATGGCATGACTCGAAATTGGTACAAGCCAAACGGGGTGACAAACGCCGACTTGGGGATGGCGTCCTCGGCTAGTGGAATTTGCCAGTATCCCTTACAAAGATCTATTGTCGTGAGATACTGGCCTCTGGCCATCCTATCTAGCAGTTCGTCTATCGGGGGCATCGGGTAAGCGTCCGACACGGTTTTGTCGTTCAACCTCCGGTAGTCCACACAAAACCGGGTGGTACCGTCTTTCTTGGGGACCGGACTACCGGTGATGCCCAGGGGCTATCGGAGTGTTCGATAACCCCCCAACT